GAAACGAGCAGCCTGCCTTCACACACGTACACGCATACACTCCACCCAAGTCCTTCGCGCGCCAACGCAGACTGGCTACAGCAACGCCGGTGGGTGGCAGAGTCTGGTGCAAGTACTCGCGCTCCTCCCTGCGCGCCTCCTCACTCATCTTCGGCGCCTTCACGCCACGCAACCGTATTCTCTCAGGCACCTGTCTGCGGTACTGCTCCACCACCAGGCTTCGTCCTATCCATTCACAACAACAATGCCAAACACTGTGTGCGGCGAGGAGAGATTCACCCACATGCATAACCTCGGACAGCGTCTCGTACTCCACCTACACCTACCGATGCTGCAGAGCAGTCGAACGGAGGGTCGTAAGAGGTCGCGGCACTCCTGCCTTCCACCATCCACCTCGCCAAGCTGCACTGCAATCGTGTCCGTCAGCTGCAGATTGTACGCGTGCATGACGGGAAATGCGACATCCAGTGCGGGAGCGGCGTGCTCCACGCCACTGTCATCCATTCGCCACGAGTCAATGTAGTCAGAGCAACGTGGACTTGCCTGCGTCAACAGCAGCTGCAACGCGTCAGCGCAGGCATCTGTGCCCGCGTCCGTGGCGACGGAGGAGTCTGCGTCCATCTCATTCACCCCGCTGCTCAATCTCTGCTCACTGCGCGGTGGCGGCAACTCACTCACCTCCCCATGGCACACGCTCGCCATGGCAGAGGATTCAACCTGCTTCATCTCATCCGCGCCATTGCTTTTTTCACCATCGCAGTCACTTCGGGAAGAACTGCTACCGCAAAAGAATGAGAAGATTCCACAATCTAATAATTGTCCATTTGCATTCACCAAAAGGTATCAGACAGAATTAATTAAAAACTTACCCAACTACGTAATCTTTTTGGTAATTTTAAACACCACAATGTGCTCATTGCTTTTGTTTTACTTAAGCCCATCGATACGTGGCAAACTCAAATAGGGCGACTTTGAGCAGGTCCAATTGCACGTCGATCCCCACCGCCTGTGATGACTTCAACCACAAAAACATGTCACCCGACACCGTGTAGAAATCCAGTCTGGTAGTTTTGCGTTTAATAAAACAAGTACCTGTAATGTCTAGTCTTTCTGTTTTATTGCGTCCTTACAGTATTTCAACTCGACGCCACCACTTGTTAGGGCTTTTGCTTGTTTTGTTAATAGTGACAAAAGTAAAAAGCGGTCAAACAGATATTGAAATGCCGATTAAATAATGGCAGTAAGGAGATCAATGTAGATCAACAAACGGGCAAACATCATGCGTGTAGGTGACGTACAAAAGTACACAAATAAGATGCCGTGGTTTGAAAATTACCTCTCTTAAATTTCCTGATTCGTAAATTTACCGCGACTGAGTGGTGTTAAAGGGACTACTAATCCCGTAAACTGGCATTTGGCAACTTTGGATTTGACTGGACCGCACTTTTAAAAGAGGATTAAAAATTACGGATTTAGAGTCAAATTGTTTGAAAAGTAACCAAATGAGAATGAATCAGAGTGGAATCTGGAGAGGAAATTTAGGGAAAATAGGAGGAATGCAGGGCCTTACAGGCTGAGCTTGGCATACGAACAGTCTTCTCTGAAATGCTCTCTTGTTTACATGTATTTAAATGCTTTTGACGTCGTAATCCTACTAAGTGGGTGGGAAAGACCAACCATTCCATTTAAATTTCAAGCACTGGCACATCAAAGTCAACAGTGTTTTTCCCTTTTTGCTTTTCTGGATTAACAACTCCGCAGCGTTTGTTATACGTAACACATTGGCGACATTTTAAATTGGTGCAAACGAAATAGAACAGTTCCCAGACATAAACGGTTTGTTAGCGTAATAACAGCAATATCAGAATTGCTATCAGTAGTAGGAAAAAATTAACTTGTTGTAGTGGTTGTTGGTAATGTCGAACAGTAACAAATTACCAGTGGTTAACATCATTATCGAACCGAGAACATTCCTCCGTACTTGTCTAGATTCCCTTATAGGGCGAACACTACATAAAATAGTGTAACATAATTACTCGTGTCTAAACTTATCTTCAATTGGAAGTAAACACCATTTGTACACTTCATTGGGTCAAACATGGTGTCGTGCGTTTATGCGAGGCACGGCCTCATGTCTGGCTGGGAAAAAGTATGCACGATATCCCACCCTTTTGAAAGGCAAATTTATACCTTAGTTTTCACATTGAGTTGGTCACTTTAACTCGTCGTAGAAAGCATTTCTAGAATGTCGGCACATAAGTATAAAAAATGCGGCATGTGTTTAAATTACAGTTCTGAATGCGGCGCCCATGCCTTTCAGATATCAGGGCATGTGATGTGCCTTTAGACTACCTAGGATGGTTAGCCTCCCTCTCAACCCGTTTTCTCCATCCGTCGCATCACAGCTGCTGTATTTCGTCTACACGAAAGATCACCATATCATTAAAAAATTCTTCCAGTTAATTAAAAAACAGTTTTCTAGTTCGTTTTAGCTAATAAAATGAGAATGTAACCACACGATTTTCTCAATTTGTTGATTAAATTCTGGTGAGACTTTGTAAGTCAGAGTGGTTTTTCATCTGGGTAATTAACCATCCTCAACATGTGATGTGGGACAGTTGTTTTGTAAAATACTCTATCATGGCAATAAATTATGATAATATAATGCAGTGATTCTGTTCTGATTAGAGTAGAAACACGTACAAGTTCCTTTGGACTTCCTGTCTTGAAGGGCTAATGCAAATTCTTATTAGAATACAATAGTAAAATCATTCGAATGCAATATATGGTAGCGCCGCAAAGGTGATATTTGCTTTCCGTGTTCAATTCGACAATTTCTCACACTGTCGCACCCGGTGCTCTGAATGACTGACAGACGCGAGCGTGGAGGTTTCAACGTAGTGCCTCCATCTACAGCTCTTTCAATGTCCACCCACCTCAGACCTCCGCGCCTCTATGAATCACTTCCGGCGCATTTTGAGCGTCTTCCTCTCAGGACCCAGTCATGCGCCTTCAAAGTGCATCATCCTTCAACTTCTCACTATCGAAATCCGGTGCAATAATCCAATTTGGCTACTAAAATTGAAAGGCAACACCCCTCTACAAATGATTTGGTAGCTCGTTCGTGGTAATTCAAGCATATTTTTTCATTTTAACAAATTTTCCCAATTAAATAATGGCCACTGTCGTGGCAATTGAAGCGACACACAAGTGGAGAAGTGAGTTCACTTTCAACACACAGGGCACTAAGGATTATCAGTGTAGGTGGCGTGGGCCATGCACTACGACAACTGCGTTAACACCGATGGCTTGGTTTGAGTGGATCGTGTACTTGAACTCCCACTACAAACAAGTACCGACCAGCCACATGGTGGTCAAGATTGATAGTGCACCAAACTCTTTTCCCCCACCTGCAATGCATGTTTTCTTTTCATTTCTACTCTTTGAAATGTAATTTTACTTGACCACTCATTACTTGCGATATGTGGTAGAGCACGCCGCAGTGACTTGCCGTAGCTTTGCTGTGTCTGGTCTTCGGTATGTATGGTGCTCTTTGCTACCCTCCCGTTACCTCGACCCCTCACGTCATGAAATACCGGTTTGAATCTGATGTCACACCAGCTCATCTGCGTTGGGAATGGATTTCCTTCTCACGACAGCAGACACGTCTCGTAAGGTGCGCATAGCATTCAAAGAAGTCGCGGTAGCGGGAGACACCGCAATGAATTAGTGCAAGAACTTTGTTTTTGGGGATAAATCGCCTCAAAGTAAATAAGATTTATGTGCCGCTATTGTAAATGCTAACTGAGAACTTGCGCTTACAGCTAAGAAGTTTGTGGCAATTAAGCCAGTGGATTTCACATGCTTTCACGATAGACGTCAGTGAGCTCCAATAACTACCACCTTGTTTCTCAATTCTCCACTCTATGGACTTTTTGAAAGGACTTGGTGTACATTAGATTAACCGCCGCAGTAACAAGTGAATTGTTCTTTACAAAAAGAAAACTAATGCTAACATTAATAGTGCGTATAATATTGTTACTATTACACTCGAAACACATCTATGTACTGCGACTCTTCCACTTCGTTGATATTATTTATAAACAACACCAGTGTGCTGCGCATTTTCTGCCAATCCAGGAAATCAAAACCCCGGTTTTATTGTTGGCTTGATTGCACACGGTATCCACGTGGTAGAATTGAATTGCCGAAGACATTTGAGCGCACTTAAACAAGAGCGCATTTAGGTAGACCTCTCGCATGTTAAGCAAAGCTTGAAAGGCCTTGGATTCACATTATTTTTCAACTTTCAAGTTCCGAATCCTATACTCTGTGATTCCAATTCGCTTACTTGATGGATAACCTAAACGTGGAGTAGTTCTTCTAATCAT